TTTTTAAAAAAAAAGCAGAAGCAAGCTGTGGTTCTCTGTAGAGAGTCTCTGATGGTTAACATCATCTAACAGCATTCAACAGCATTAATAATGAGGATCCCTCACAGATTGCAGCATTCTCTCCAGACCCAAAAGAAATATTAAGTGCAAAGAGATAAGTCTGAGAAACCCACTGAAAAATGGTGCACAGGAAGAGCAGCAAAGATTAATGTAATTAGTAGATCTATCTTCAAAATCCAGACAACCAAAGCTGTAAACAAAACAACTTCTGTTTGAAGAACATAGTTGGATAACACCTGTTACCCAATAAAATCATTACCCATCACCAATAACCACGTCTATTTTAACAAGACCAAAACATTAACTGGTGATATAAAAGCCAGTTTTTACAAATCTATAGCTGGAAGTACTCTAAGTTCTGCCTGCATAGAGCAAAGAATTTTATAAAGCTTACAGGAATCCTTACCCGTTGTAACTGCTATCTGACTACCTAAGCTACCTTAACAAAACTGGGTACGTTATCTCACTGATAAGCACCATGAGGCAGGATGTCTTATCTGACAGGCTCTTTACATCAAAGATAAGACATCCATGAAAATTCCACCAGGTCATAAATGTCCAATACGCATCCTAAACAGATGAGAAACAGACCTGACTTGCAGTGAGAGAACTGTCTCCCTAACATCAAGCTGTAAGCTGCACTGAAGAAGGAAGTACAGAATGAAGACATTAACAAGAAATAAGCTTTTACATTATAGCAATATAAGATATCTTTGCTGTACGAACTACTGAGTGCTCTGTTCCTCATATATAATTCTTAAACAGGTAAACAAACTCTGGTAACTACCTACAGTCCTGTTAATTTTAAGATCCAAACATTCATAGGATTTGTTCCAAGCCCTTTCAAAGAGAAGAAAGCTGAATCATGTTAAAGACAGGTTTATAGTTCTTTGCATTAGAAAACAGTTGCTTGAGGCAGAAGAAATGGATGATAGTAATATATGAAAACTTAAAACTGACAGCACACCTTAACCTTAATACCAAAAACAGCCATTAAATACTTTAACCCATGTAAAGGTGAAACAGAAATACAATGAATAAAGTGGCAGAAAGGGAGAATGACAACACTGGTAGAAACAGGAACACCTGTAAGAAATACTGCCCCCAGGCAAAAGGCTGTATTAAACTCACTATAGAAGGACTTAACAGGTAAAAGCACTATGTCCACAACTGGATGCCAAAGTTGGTACCAAAGGCCAATGAACCTCAGAATTGACAAAACTCTCTACTTTAACACAAATAGTGCTCTTAAACAAGTACCACTAGTGTTTTAAAACCTTTCAAAATAAAGAAGGGATATCCCTTCTTTACTTACATCACTAGCAGTCACAGATGAGAGTAAATCTTGTTTAGCCATAAGGAAAAGTTTCCCTTATGAAAGTTATTCTAAGCCCTTATCCACAAAGGTTAATTTTTCTTCATTGCAATCCTCCCTAGAAAACCTTTGCCATTGCACATTCCCTCTCATATTCACTTTAACTATGCTACTTAAACAGGAAATAGAATGAACAAAGGAATAAATGAAAACCCTGACCATCAAGAGAAAGTGTACTTGTGAAACTGTTCAGCCTGAGAATTAGAAGTTTTAGCAAGTGTAAAACTAAAAGAGCTTGGGCAAGACTAATATATAAATCAAGCAGCACCACTGCTAAAACCACTTAAGAAAGGGACAATTCCTGCTTCAGCCTCTAAGAGTCATTCCAAGGAATGATCCAAAAGTTAACTTACTAATGTTTAGTTGGATTCTTCACTTGATAGCCTATCAAATATTTTCAGATAAGAAAACAAAGCCAGAATTTACCTGAAATCTGTTGATACTACACTAACTTTTTCAAGGATCAAATGTGGAATACACTGGCATCCAATAAAGATTGGACTATGATGCACAGCCACAGAATAAAGTACGATCAGTAGCTGGGGCAAAATTAGTCCTTACAGAAATTGATAAACACAATTTCTGTAGACATTTTGGCTAAAAGAAATTTTAATTAGTTCTCTGCTCTGACAGATTGTCTCATCAACATGAAAAATTTGAAAGCAGAAGCATGCTTTGGTATAAAATACTAAGGTGATGTAGCTTAATAACACACTTTCCCTGAGAGGTGGTGGTATAAGAGAATGACTGAGGTGAAGCACCACTTTTGGATAAAATTCTCAGCAACAGACTTCAGAAAGATGTGTCAAACAATGCACAAATCTGTCCCAAATCTCTGAACACCATGTGAATTCTATCAAGCCCGCTAAAAAAAAAAAAGCAGCAGTTTCAGTCCTTCATTTAAGCTAAGATATGTAGGATCTGTGTGTTTCAGAGATAGAAAGGCAGCTCAGGTCTGCTCCTGAGGACTTCACTTAAAATGACAGAAAGCTGTTTCTGAGATAAAGTTGCACAGTATCCTCTATACTCTTATGTAAGCACTACTATAAGCTCTATGGGTTCAAATGGGAAAAAAAGAAGGAAAGGATGCTTGAGAATTTTTTTCTTAGCAGGCTGTCTACCACACAAAAAAAAAAAAGCATTATAAAGTGTATTTGCTATTTATCAGCAAGCCTTAGAGAGAGAAAGTGGAATAGATCAATTTAATATACTACACGTGCTTGCGTCCTCCAGCTATAACCTTTTTGGTGAGATTTTCTTCCAAACAAGCAGAGAGAAAACAAAAGCATCAGTGACAATTTAAGTTATGGATGAAGCTGTGGATGTGTGTCCAACTCTGACATCTCTTCAGTGTATTCAAGTAATTCTGACAACCTCACACACACCAGGCTTATGATTTCCATTCCACTAGCCATTTTTATTCTGTTTCAGAAAACTGCAAGTGTTTTCATCTCTTGAAAGAGTACACCTATTATGGACAAGACAGAGCTGAAATTACCGTACCTAAGAGAATCATCCTTCAAGAGCTAGAGGATAGTTCCCTCAAGACACAACACAGTAAGAAAAGACAAGACAATGGTAATAAGTGAGGTAGCAAAACACACAGTTTTAACCTAGAGAAACCACCGGAACATCCAGGAACAAGTAACTATGAAGAAGAAAAGAACAGAATATGAACCTCAAAGAAGTGAGAAGTTAAATTAGACATGACAAATTCTGAAGCAGAGAGGAATTGCATTGGAAAGTACATCATGCTTTCCCTACTTATCCATAGGAAGCATATTTGCAGCACGCCACATATGTGGTCTACAAAGAGGTAAACACTAATGTATGCAAATCAAGTGCTACAAAAACACATAACCATTAACACTAAAAGAGAAAAGCAAAACATTTGCACTAAAGGTCAGCAATACTCCTCTAAAACAAAGTAACTGATAGAAGTTCAAAGTCTTCCTATCCAAAACGCCTTCCCACAGTTTGTTTCTGAAAGTTCAAGCATTCAATATCTTACACTGAATTAGTGATTAACAGCTATGTCTACTGTATGCAAAATTATGTTTCTATGTTTTATCTAATTTTGCTGGCAAGGAACACACAGCTGCTATCCATCATCTTACAGTAAGAAGATGATTGTATCTACTTGCTAGAGTATACGTAAGTAAAGGTTAATTCCATTTTTTAGTATGAGTATGCCAAATAAAATCAAACGTTGTGCAACATCTTCTACTTCAGCACTCTAACTCGTGGAAGAAACTAAACCACTCACAAGAGCAGCATAATTCCTCTTACAGTTACAACTATTTCTAAAAGTTTTTTTTTCCATGGCTCAATTGAATACAGCTACACTGTTAGAAAAAAAAGGTAATCTTTAAGCAAAGACTTTGAAATCAAACCGCAATGCACACGATTACAATAGAAAGTATTTTGATTATATTTCTTGATTAAATTCTTTCCATGTACTTCAGTATCTGATAAAATATTAGAAAATTAAAAAGTGTAAAATAAAAACTTGAATACTTTAACTTACAACATTACAGACAATTTTATCTCTGAATTTAAGAGTTTAAAAAGTCTATGAAGTTGTAAGTGCTACTAACAAGAACAAAGTGTACTCTATTCAAGATGGAAATATTTTTATTTTTCCTCGCAAAAACAGATTCAGTTGCATATTAAAATAACTAAAGTTAAAGTAGCTGCTCTAAAAACATCTTTTGGAAATCTAGTGAATACCAAATATACTTTGCTTTTCTTTACATTGAGCTCAGACTGCACGAACTACAGTGGTTCTACTATTCTCAGTAACAAAAATGTTAAATTCTCAACAATTCTACTCATTCAGATGTTTAACTTGATGTTTCAGCAAATGTTACCTAAAGAGTAAAATAAATAAATAAAAAATAAATAAGTAATCAAGGCCAATTTCTCCAGTAAATGAAATGGTGCAAAATTTGGTCAAAAGAAATCCCTTTAAACTTAGCAAGCAATATGAAGACTTACTCCAATCCAAACATTGCAGGTGCAATGTTTTTACTGGAAAAAAAGAAGAAAAAAAACAAAAAACACAGCTCTCCCTCAGTCCAATTCATGCACTCACGTCGTCATGTTCTCTAAAATAATCCTTTACCAGCAATGCAGACCTGCTATTTTGTGCGTAACTATTTCATTTATAATAAAGTTCGTCAACATTGCATACCCAAATTAGCTCACGATACTCCAGTGTCAGCTCCAATGAGAGGAACTGAATATACACAGAATAGATAAATGATATTTTGTTTGGAAAAAAACCAGTGAAAATTCATTTAAATAATTTCTTCTTCTCACAACAAAGGATGGATTTTAAGTTTTATAAAGACAAATTAGTACTTGATTATTTAGGCATGAATATAACAGAGCTCCCAATATACTCACTATATCCAACTGAAAAGTGTGATAAGTGAATATTTTAATATTCTTTCTTGATACTGAACTTGCTTTCTTTGATTACAAGTTTCTTCAAGAAATTATTGATTTATACAAACCAAATAACAATATGTGATGTCCTCAAAATAGTATCAGGAACACTTACTCATCATACTTGATATGATAAATAACTTCTTCACTGTCCATACAGTCTGAATAAGATGTAGACGGTGTACTGTCCAAATTATTTGCATTCTCTCTTGAATGCTCTTGACTTAAGCTTCCATTAGTCCTTTTGTAAGTATTACTGCTCTTTCCTTGAGCTTTACCATTCTTATGTCCCTTTGTTGCTCGGGTAACGTTTTCTATATGAGCTTCAAACCAGGCTCCAATGCTGACATCACGTGCATCCACCAACTCATTTATCTGAAAAGAAAATTCAATAATGAATTTATGCTTCTCTTCTACAATTTCAACTAAGAACAAATAAGGCAACTTACCATAAAACTGCTTAACCTTATTAACTTTAATCTGTATAACATTCAACAACATTAACTCATTTAGCTTGAGCAAGTTGAAATTAACATGCAATCATCATTAATACACTGCACATTGAACATTACATTCTTGTCTCATTAAAATCTGGTAGCAGGAAGAAACACAGAATCATCAGGCTAGAAAGGATCTCTGGAGATCATCTACTTTATCCTTGTGCTCAAGCTATAGTCAGCTAAACCAGGTAGCAGAAGTCTGTGTGCAGCTTACAACCTACAGCCTCTAGCAGCAGAGACATAATTATCATCCCCAAAGGCTAGCTTCTATTAACTGAAGAACTATTATGTATTTTGAGAGGGACAAGACAAAACAGAAATAAGCAAACAACATTCAATAACTTTTACTATTTGGAGTTAAGCATTCCTTAGGAATCTGAATATGAAGTTGACAGCAGTTTGAGATAACAAATGTAACTCAAGAAAACAATGTCTAGATTATACTTAATATTGTATACCCTTCACTTTTTGGTCATCTTCTTAGAACTCAGTCCTCTTCTTTCTCCCACACAGAATTACAAACATGTTTTTAATCATTTTATTCTACAAGCAACAGTATCAAAAGTACAGTTTTTTATCAGGATGAATACTTTAGTCACATAAATCAAAGAGTTTCAGAAGTGTCTCAAACATATATATAAATGTATAAATGACCACACTTCTGTAATGACAATTCTGTAAGGATGCCCCCCAAAAAGTATATCCATACGATCTTAAGTGTTCAAATTAGTTGTAGCACAAGCTTCTTCTTTACTTCCTTCTCTCAGAAACATAGTTGAGACACTACTAAAGACTCTTCCTGCTGCTACTTTTTGAGATTAGTGTTAGAGAAGCTGTGTCAGCCAAGCCAGCTTCATCATTACATTAAAAAAAATAAAGTACAATGCAACCTCCCATGATCTCTCTCAAACTATAATTCCCATTCCTTTCAGACCACAATTTGATGTGCGTACTCATAAATCTGACTTCCCATCTTTGCAAAGCACAAGGGCAAAAAGTATTACTACATACCACTGGGAACACCATGTAACAGTTTTACAAGCAGTTATTACTGTTCCCAAAAAAGAGATCCAGATTGCATCAGAGAATTCAAAGAAAGGTGGTCAACTTCACTTCACACAAAATTGTTTTGATAAATGTATTTTCTATTGATTGTAAACAAGGGTTAGACTACTTGGGAGTATTTTCCCAGGAACAGGAGCTCAGAATCAAGTTGCACATGAGGAATATTTTCCATGAGAAACAAAAGATACATGAAGAAACTAAGCAACAATCCAAGCAAAGTTGAAATTCTAAGGTAAGGAAGAAGTTTAACACTGATGTAACAGCCTAACACTCTTTCGCCATTCTTTAACTGGCTTACTACCTAAATGCAATTATTTACACTAATAGACGATTAAAGACAACCACCATCCTAAATCATATTTCGCTCTAGTCTGCAGAACAGCATCCAGTGATACAATCACACAAATACCAAGAAAGCACTAATTTTTATAATAGTTAAATTAACCATTTTGAACTGTGACAAACAGAACAATTATTGTGATGACAAAAAATCAGAAAATCACCAATTATTTCAAATATTTTTAAAACCTTTTTAAAAGAATTACAAAAAAAGTTAAAAAAAAAAAAAAAAGAATAGGCAGACCAAGCCAGATCTTGTGATGTTTATAGATCTGTTATTCTTACAGAAAACATCTTTGCCCTTCTTCCTGATATGAAATCCTTAGCAAGTTTGCAGACAACACCAGCTAACTGATGCAGCTGACACACTATAGGGAAGGGATGCTATCCCGAGGAGCCTAGACAGCTTGAGAGGAGGGCCCACAACCTCATTAAGACCAAGTGCAAGGTCCTGCTCCCAGGCTTGGGCAATCCCACGCACAGATACAGGTTGGGTGAAGAATGACATGAGTGCATCCCTGAGGAGAAGGATTTGGAATGTCAGTTGACAGAAGTGCCAGCCATGGGCACTCGCAGCCCAGAAGGCCAATTATAGCCTGGGTTACATCAAAAGAACTATAACCAGCAGGTTCAAGAACATGATTCTGCTCTGCTGCTCTTGTGAGTCCCCACCTGGAGTACTGTGTCCAGTCCTGGAGCCCCCAAGACATGAAGGACATTGAGGGCCACAAAGATGATCAAAGGGCTGGAGAACCCCACCAATGAGAACAGGCTAAAAGAGCTGTCTTCTGTTCAGACAGGAGAAGAAAAGGCTCTAGGGGGACCTTATAGCAGCCTTCCAGTACCTGAATGGGGCCTGCAAAAAAGCTGGGGAGGGACATTTTTACAAGGGCATGTAGTGATAGGACAAGGAGAAATGTCTTTAATCTGGAAGAGAATAGATATAGACTAGATATTAAGAAGAAATTCCTTACTGTGAGGGTGGTAAGACACTGGAACAGGTTGCCCAGTGAGGCAGTGAATGACCTCTCACTGGAAGCATTCAAGACCAAGATGGATGGGGCTTTGAGCAACCTGGTCTAGTGGGAGGTGTGCCTGCCTATAGCAGGGGGGTTGGAACTAGATGATTTAAAGGTCCCTTCCAACTGATGCCTTTCTATGATTCTACAAAACTCTATAACCTTATCAATTTTTATGTGTTAATTCTTTACTTTGAAAACTTCATGTGAACTACTTCAAAATTTGCACCAAAATATGAAGATTGACAATGAGATAATTGATAATTGCTGCTGCAATTTAAGTGTTGGCATACAACTCAGTAAGAGCAAATTTGCATTGTACTGTTCAGTAGGATGTTTCTGGTTCAAACTGATACTACGAAATAACTCACAGGAAAGTAGAACAAAATATTGAATACAGTCAACAAGCACGCCTTTGATCATTAATGGAAAATATTGCATGAAAATAGAAATTGTACATTTTTGGAAGCAAAATCCTAAAAGACTCTGTTTTATGCCTCTACATGAAAACTTTCAAACTAGAAGGCTTTAAAAAGGACAAAGTAAAGGCAGCAAACAAATCTGGCTCTTAGGGCTAATAGGAGAGGAGCAATACAACAGAACAACTACATAAATATCTACAAGTTCTAAAGGATGTCAGAACAGTGGAAAAAATAAACCAAGAATCAATAGATGTGCCATGACAAAATGAAATGGAAAAAAAATGCAATCTGATTTTCACCAATCACAAAGTTTTAAGGTACCTCAGGAGATCTGTAGTCCAAATTCCTGCTCAAAACAAGATTAAAATTGAACACATAAATTTGTCCAGCACTTTATCTGGTTGCTATGTCTCTCAAACTTCTAGGGATAGATATTCCATAGCCTAAGGAAATGTTTCAGCTCTTAATAATCCTAGTTAAATGGAATCATAGAATCTCTGGAGTTCGAAGAGATCTCCACAGTAAAAAATTTTTTTCCTTCTATTCAACCAAAATCTACCCTCTTTTCCAGTTTGAAACCATTTCCCTTAGTTTTTATCATCTCTTTTCAATGTCCATATACTGTCTTTCATTCTCCTGTTCTGTACCTCAGTAAGAAGACTTCACATACTTCTGGAAGGTCCTTTCTCTCCCAGAATCTTCTATTTTACAGATTAGGTAAGACTACTATGGTATTCTCTTTAAGACAGAAATGCTACTACATTGGACACCCCCGTGACCCCAGCTGAGCTTGCTAAGTTTATCAATACTTTTCTCATACTGAAGCATCCCATATTTGATGCAGATGGTGGTATAGCAAGTGGCAAGTTAAATTACCACTTCCTCCAACTAGCTGGCTAGGTTCCTCCTGACAGAGCCAGTTCCTGTAGACACAGTGTCAGCATCCAGAACTGCCATGATGCACCGAAAAGTGTTTAGCCAATATTACTACAGTTCCAGATGCCACTCCCAAATTGGCTGACACTGCTTCAGCCTGCTCCATGGGAAAAGGTCAGCTCAACCCAAGTGCAAGACTTGAACTTCTTGAGATTCAAAAGCAGCCCATTGTTCCAGTTTACGTAGACCCTTCTGCGTGGCAGACTTGGCATCACACCAGTTACACTATCCAATACACCGGTGTTCACAGACAAAGAACGGACATTTCCTTTTCATCCTGGCCACTGGTGAAGGCACTGAATAGGATAGCTCTTAGGATACCCTTCAAAAAGAATAAGGAACAACTAACAACCCAGTTCTCAAGCCAGATATCACTGACAATTCTCAGTCTTCATGAAAAGGAAAAGGAGTTGAAAATTGTTTCACACACCACTGTTTCTTCTAAGCCACAATTTAGATAATATACAGTGACCGCACAGAGGAACTCTGTTTAAATCATTATTTTAAATCATCCAACAGTAATTCCAACTTTTTTTTTTATTGCAAATAAACTTCTACTTTTTTTTTTTTTTTTTTTAAATGACAGATTCCATACTGGCTACATCTTTTCCTTGGTAGCTGAAACCATAAAGGAGGGCACAAAGACTGATGCTGTTCCAAACACTGAATAAGTAACACGCATCTTGAGTCTAGCTGTAGACAGATATCCATGGATGCACAAGACTTTGTTCAGCTATAAAAAAAATTGTAAGATTATTTCTTCCTGTAACTAGACAACTCCTTATTGTCTGACAAAAAATGCAAAATAATAAAATTAATCCATGTATTTAGCCATCCAACATGCCTTAGATTATGGTCTTTTTTGTTGGCTTTTATTAAACAGATATTCTACCTTTGAATTGCATTACTTGTCAGAATTCTTAGAGTTTTCTGATTCTACAAGCAGAAATCCTCTAGGCATACCTACTGATATCTGCAGAATAGCTAAGATCAGAACAGCTGTACCCTTCCACCAATTATTTGCTCGCTAGATATACTAAAATCATAAAGCTGGCTCAAAAAGTTACAATTTCGCTGATAAGTAAGGAGGAAGTCCTAAGTCTCTAGTATTACAAATGGCAAAATTTCCAGACAACTCAAGAGACCAAGTCTCCTTGACTATGTTTGCCAATATTACAATTTTGTTTTCCACTTTAATTCCAGGAAAAAAAAAGAAAAAAAAAGAAAAAAACTTAAGAGAAACTGATCACCACTTAGCATTCTTCAAGATACACTTTAATATTCCTTTTCTTTGATCTGCTACCATTTACGACCTTCCGTCCCTCCAGTCTTCTCCCCGTCCTATTCATATAATCCATAAGAATAAAGGGTAAAACATCACAACTGAAGAACTGGGTTTATTTTCACTGTAATGGATGGAGCCTAAAAAGAAAGGAAGATGAACACAATCTCGTGTCCTAACATTTTAAGATGTCAATTTCACATCTCCCTCATTTTTTTCAACAATGAGCTATAAAACTCATTGCACAGAGTGCTGCTGGAATATATTGTAATTTAGGACTTAGCATCTGAAATGTGGTGTAACAGTTTAAATCAAACTAACAGTTTCCCATCTGGATGATGGGTCTGAATAAGAACATTCCTTCAAATAAGACAAAGATGTAGAAGTATGGCATTTACAACCTTCTTTTCTCTTGCTGAAGAATGTCCACATTATTACAAAAAAAATAACAGATACTTCTCAGGAAAGCATAATATTACCATTACCCGTATATATACATCCTTCTAAATACTCAGCTACCTACTAAATCTGGAAATTGCCCATTTTCTGTATTAATTAAGTTTCTGGTATTCTAATTCAGACCCCAGGGGTCTGTCTTGGGACCGGTCCTCTTTAACATCTTTATCAATGACATCGATGATGGAATCGAGTGCACTCTCAGCAAGTTTGCTGACGACACCAAGCTGAGTGCTGTGGTCAACACAGCTGAAGGACGGGATGCCATTCAGAGGGACCTCGAGAGGCTGGAAAGGTGGGTCCGGGTGAACCTGATGAGGTTCAACACGGCAAAGTGCAGAGTTTTGCACCTGGGCCGGAGGAATCCCAAGCATCCAGACTGGAAGGAGCGGTCCTTGAGAGCAGCCCTGTGGAGAAGGACCTGGGGGTCTTGATAGATGAAGAACTTAACATGAGCCAGCAGGTGCCCTTGCAGTTCGGAAGGCAAATGGGATCCTGGGCTCCATCAAAAGAGGGGTGGCCAGCAGAGACAGGGAGGTGATTGTTCCCCTCTACTCTGCTCTTGTGAGGCTCCATCTGGAGTACTGCATCCAGGTCTGGAGCCCAAAGTACAAGAAAGACAGGGAACTGTTGGAGAGGGTCCAGAGGAGGGCCATGAAGATGATCAGGGGACTGGAGAACCTGCTCTATGAGGCTGAAGGAGCTGGGCTTGTTCAGCCTGGAGAAAAGAAGGCTGCGGGGTGACCTCATTGCAGCCTTTCAGTACCTAAAGGGAGCCTACAGAGGGGAGGGGAATCGACTCTTTGAAAGGGTAGATAACAGCAGGACAAGGGGAAATGGTTTTAAGTTGAGGGAGGGAAGATTTAGGTTGGACATCAGGGGGAAATTCTTTACAGAGAGAGTGGTGAGGTACTGGAACAGGCTGCCCAGAGAGGTTGTGGATGCCCCGTCCCTGGAGGTGTTCAAGGCCAGATTGGATGGGGCCCTGGGCAGCCTGGTCTAGCATTAGGTGGGAAGGCTGGTGGCCCTGCATGTGGCGGGGGGTTGGAGATTCATGATCCTTGAGGTCCCTTCCAACCCTGCCAATTCTGTGATTCTGTAATGCAATCCTACATAACAACATGGAAAAATTCTAAAAGATACAAAAACTATCAAAAAAGACATGATTACTAAATAAAGTAGTAAAATCACATCCATTATATCACATATAAAGTTCTATAGTTTATCTCGTACTGATAAATATTACTATTAAAACTAGTATTTGGTAAGAGTGAAAATAAATAAATAGGGAAAAAGTTATACTTTTTCCACAAAGTTCCCTCCCCATGGATTTTTCTCCTCAGTTTACAGAAAGCACTACTGCTTCCCTGGTACCTTAAACTTACTGGAGGACACAAAACACTAACTGAAAAACACGTTTAGGAGAAAATATTATGTTACAGTTTAGGAACACACCCAAAGGCTACAACAGCGTGGTACAGGCACACATGACCTTAAATGAAATCATTTTAAAAAAACCTGACTATAATACTACCCTCAAATAACTCCTAAAAATCAGATTACCTAATCAAGATGACTGAACTTTGAAAACACAACACTCTCAATGAGGCATGAAATAGTTAAAATTTTAAGTCAGTTCTTTAAGTCAGTTTAACACTAGTAAATAAAATATATCCATCAGTGCAGCTTAATGAATCTGTAAAGATACCTATACAAGTTCAGTCTAATTTACTTTTATCCAAATGGGAAATTATTTCAGATCATGAAAGACAGTAATAAAGCCACGTTTATATATAGAAATATATATATTTACATGTATACATACCTATATATGATTAAAAAAAACTTGAACAATAAAACTAAATCTGAAAGTAAAAGATAAATTTTCAGCTTTTAAAGCCTTACATACCTTGTACAATCCTATGCCAGGATCAATGAGAAATGAACGAGATGATGTAGATGGCTGACTAGGTGATCCACTACTTGGTTTTTTTACTTTGTTCTTACAGTTAGAAATAGCACAGGGACTGACTTCTCCATCTTGATCAGTCATAGAAGCAGTGGCAGGAGCTTCAGATTCAGAACGTATCAAAAGCTGAACAATGTCATTGAGTCCAACATTGTAGTCAAATAACGTGTGTCCATCTTCTAGCTGTCAAAAGAAAACTATAGTTGTAAAATTCCACCTTGAGGTAAGTAACTGGTTTACAAATCTTTCTTTCATAGACAATAATTACACAGACCATAAAATTGTGTCAAAGTTATTTAAGAGAGAAGCCAACTACTTCAGATAAATAAAAGCCTGTGTCTTGAGTAAATGCCGAGAGCGTAAAATTAGAAATAGACATTTTTATAGACTTCGGATCTTCTTTTTACAGAAGAAAAAAAGCAGGAAGGATGAAGAAGCAGAAAAGACAGAAGTAGGAAGGAATTCTCAATCTTCTCCCTAGTAGTCTTCTAGTACATTAAAACAATCTCAGGATAGATAAAAGAGGAGTGAAAGTTTATTCTTTCATCCTCTCTGTCTCTTCAAGGCAAAAAACCACCCATACAGAAGGATGAAGTACAGTTAGAGACAAAGGCTGTACTCAAGAAATGAGTCAGTTTTCCTTCCACAATGGTAAGACCTGTGTAAAAAATTAAAACAAATATATTAATCAATTACTCTCCTTACTCCTGTTAAGTACTACACCCACAGTGCACTGTAGTTACCTACAGTTGATGAAGTGTGCATTCCCCTAAAGCAGAGTGCACTGAAGTCACAAATGAGACTCCCTCCAGATGTTTGATTCATTGTTTGGTTACACAGTAGCCTAAAGCAAGCAGAACTAAATACAGTAAGATTACTGATTATTCTCTGTTGTACCCTCAATAGAGCAATTGTTCCACGTCTGACAACTACAGGAACTACCCATGCTCAAATGAAAGTTTTCAAAACAGTTAGACAAAAAGTTTACTGAAGATCTTGATGATATGCCCCATCAGTTTCAATTATCAAATAGATTGAAATCTCAAGTATTCTTCTACAGGTGACTGCCAACACTGACTCAGGTATCTAGAGCCCTAGAGTTTCTACCAAGTAGCAAGCTACTTACACAAATTCAACTAACCTTTCTCCTCCCACCACGTTGCAGAACTCCACACTTCTGACAAGTCTTGAACACATAAGATACAAGAGTTCTTGCAGCTCTATGACAATCCATATTTGTGAGCTTTTCATACTATCAAAGGTCTGTATTATTACTGTTAAGGTTATTAATGTTTACCAAAAAAATGGGGATTCTTGCATTCAAAATATACATAAACCCAAAACAAATATAAATAACTACCTTGCAATAATACATCTGATGAGGGAAAAATGATACGTATTTCAATAAGTTTCTGGAGCTGTTTCTTCACATTATTCTAAGCTCATTTTGAAGACTCAATCCTCCTGCAAACAGTTTGTTGTTGAAATGTCTTATAAAATATCACCTTACATTTTAAAGTAAAAAGAAAATTCAGCAGTAGTTCCAGAAACTAGACTGCTACTGAAATAACAAATCAGATATTACTGGAGACAACATAACTTTTGGTTCATCTTGTCTATTCCAGCTAGACTGGACAATTGCTGATAGATGTTCCGGAGCATAATTTCCAGAACCCTTTGGAATAAGGAAAGCTTCTGGCAACTAGTGTAGTGATGTGTAAAGTAGTTCGCTTCTGGTAGACCAGAAACATACAGGCAACATATAAATGGGAACAAATAAACCATTATTGATCTGTTTTTAGGAAATAGCATGTATATGCTGACAGAAAATAAATTGTGCCCCAAAATACCTGAAGTCTAAAGCCAAGTCAGTGAAGAACTAAATCTGAACAGCTTGAATGTTCTACCATGATTAAGTAGTGTTAACAGCTGTCAAATGGTTTACGGGCTGGTCTGGCCCAGTTCTTTGAACGGTGGGGCAGAGGGATCTGCAGATCTGCACCTCTGGAAAGGGGAAACAGGGGACCCAGAATAATCAAAAACAGCAGCAATGATCTGAAGAGAAACAAACTAATTTACTAAATATGGAATTGAAATGCAAGATAATACACTAATACAATATAATACAGCATAATTAGAAGTGGAGCTAATAAATCAAATACAATGAGAGAGAGTGTTTGAAAGGTGGAAAGGCCTCACCATAACACTGAGGTGAGATGCGCAGTTGAGTCAAGCAGCAGGGAGGAGAGCCAAAGGAAAAAAGGGCATCAGGTGACCCTGACAGGGGTCATGTCTCCTCTCCAAATGCAAAGTGTTCTGGGAAATGTAGTTGTTCTCCTCCAGAGAGGTGCCCAGAACTGGAGCATTAACTCTTTAACTCCCAGAGCACTACATGATGTTGTGATGGGGAATACTGATAACCAAAAATCATAACGCCATGACAAGCACAAAATTCAATGTCTAGATATAACAACCCGATCTAGCTGCCAATTTCCCAGTTTGTTGCTGGGGAGCTGGGACAGATGACCTCTAATGGTCCCTTCCAACTCAAGTGATTCAATGATTCTATGAATTGTGATTTATTTATCAATTATGACTCAGATTAACTTGTATATTCTGATCACAAATTAGTTATGTCTATTAGTATGAGATAGAATTAAAGAAAGGAGAATGTCTGAATTACAAGTAGTCTGTCTAGGAATATTCACTATGTTCTGAGAGTCACACAGACCTATGCTATGTCATGAATGGGAAGCCTTTTCCAACAACCCACATGCTAATTATCGTACAAGGACTACTCACATTCCGTAAAAAGAATCAAAGTAAGACATGATTAACATAAATTATATGGTCAGACTAACCCAGTGATTTCTAAGTCATTTATAATAAATTAGCATCCTGCTCTGTTTGTTTGGGTTTTTTCCTTCATTTTTTAAATATTAGTTTTCTTTCCAGGAGTAGTTTATGACTACATAGACTGATCTATGACTAGTGATGTCATGTTTAAATCTGAAAACAAAGTAACAAAGATAAGATAACAGACTTCAAATGAGGCAGGATACAGAGTTTGGTAACGTGATAGTCAGGGAAAGAGTACCTGTTTGTACCACGAGCAAAAACATATTCCAAGATATTAGCAAACGTATAGATTTAGACCAAGAATACTTTTTGTATGAATAAATAAACAAACTCATCCCATTGTGCTATAAAGGTACTAACAGGAATCCCTGAAAATACATTTGCCTGGACAGCATGTTAAATGAAAATAAAGCAACGTTACTTGTTTGTTTTTTTCAGTCACTGAGTGTTGAAGAACACTTGTTATTCTCAAGTTCATAAACACAAATGACAAGCAAAAGTAATCAGGCAAATACTAGGCAGTCAAGCTATACCTCAATTTCTCATTGGGTCGTTAAAGCCTGTACAAGAGCAAAAATAAGTAAACAGGCAATTTCATTTATGATTATATTTTTTTTGCTAGCTTTTCTGACACAACAGCCATTAGAAGTATTACTTAGCAGCAAATGCCACTTTGAGTTTTCATTCTCTTTTTCCTAGTGTTAGAGACACTATCAATTTAAAATACTCTTCTGTAGAAGGTTGTTATAAATACTTAAAAGTAAGCCAACACTGTGCTTATGCTACTACACAAGAGTGGCTGTTGCAATGCAATACTGGAACTGATACCTACCATCCCTGTTAGAACTATGTCCTGTAGTATCAGGCCAGAACTGACTTAAAAAGCATGTAGAAACTGCAGTTAAACCTGAAATGATCACACAGAGTGCAGTATGTCAGACTGCTTCAAAAATATGTCCAATAAAGAACTCATATCATTAACATTCGTATCAATTAATACCATTAATTTGTCTATAAGTACCAGCAGAATCACAGCTTATTGTGTGTTATACAGCATGCACAGAGAAATCCTTAGAAAGTTTGTAAACATTCTGGAACGTTGCATTTATCTTAAAGTGTGATCCAAGCAGCTGAGCTCCTTTATCAACTTAATCCAGTCACTTCACTTGGAAAACAAGATCTTCCATCATTCATAAAGGTGTGCTTTTGAGCATCTTCTGTTTTATTTTCCAAGAATTAGACCTAGCAATAAACTTGAAAGGAATATGGAATGCAGTAGAGCTCTTTAAAGTAGGAAGTTGAAAAGTTAGGTGACCTCAATCTCTTACTCTACACAGCTGTTACACACTCCCTACAAATTTCTTTAACAAGAAAAGCAGAAGAGTAAACAGTTTAACTTTGGATTAATTAATAGGCATTACTTAGAAGCCAAGTTAGTTTGAATAAATTAGAAGAACCTAAAACTTCCTCCAAGGTACTCATTAAAGGCAATTAAAGTGGGCAGTCAGAAACTGGTATTTTCAGCCTGAAGAGTGCTGTATGTACTTTGTTCTTCTTGTATACAAGGCTGGTGAAATTGTGAATTCCACTTAGTGCTTTTACAGAGTGCTTCAAAGACATCGCCAATCAGTTTCTAACAACAAAAAGCCCAACTAAAAAAAATACTATTTGGAACATTGAGTTCTGAACCAATGGGACTATCTCAGGTCAAGAAAATTTCAGTAATCTTTAGCACAGCACAAACACTTAGCTTGTAAATCTCTGCCATTTGGATTTGTTTGTACTTCCAAAGCTAAAAAAATAACCTGAACAATACTTTTAATCCGGGTGGTAAACCACACCCTACACCTGGATTATCTTGTATCTAAAGAAAATGATTTAAGATTCTGGGATATTTAAGTTCATTAAGTAACCACATTAAGGACTAAGAGGCATTGTTTCTCAAAAAAAAAAAAAAAAAAAGCTGTCTTAATTGCAATGGACATAAAAGCTAAACAAAAAGGAATTTATAGTAATTCCATTTGGTTGGCTATGCTTTACATTAACTGGAATGTTCAATGCATACTGCTTTTAAGTTTTTTCAACTCCAGAAGATCCAGTTCTTCATCAAAAACTCTAGTTTCACTAGTCACTGCCTGAATTTTCAAATATTCTACCAGAACTCAAACACTAATAGCTATTAGTCTCATACAAAACTTAACTGTACTACAGGTTTACTTTCCAAAAAATATTAATCTTTCTTGGAAAGGAATACCAATAGAACTTCAAGTCGTCTTTATCAGGGCTTTACACCCACTACTCTCTGACAAGCTCCTCAGCAAAAG